TGGGCAAAGCCATAAACTATTCTCAACCCCAAACCAGAAAACACACTTTTACAGAATCCGGCCATTCCACTCATCGTCCCATCCTGGAAATAACCCCAGACTTGCAGCCAAAAGCCTTATTAAATACGAGGCCATATTTAATCAACTCACACCGTGTTGTGAGAAATACTACCTTTAAATAAGCAGTTTGAAATGATAATTGATACTAGAAGCATTTTTTAATTAATTTTTAGAAAGAACTATTTAAATTCTATTCATATGTACAAAAGATTAATTAATATGGATCTTAGAAAATTAAAGGATCTGTGTAAATAAAATGCTGATGTGAAAGTCTATACACTCACTCATCTCTTATGTATATGGTTAAATTCAATAACCCAGGCCTTTATAAAAAAATTACTGTTATATAAAATGGCAAGTGAGTAGGACATCATTACATAACTACCAAATCACTGATACTGACTGCCTAGCTTCAATGACATATAGCCTTAAACACCATAGCCAGCATTACTCTCACACTTTGACATTTGTAACTGCAAATTGTATGTCATTAATGTCCAAAATAGCTGTGTATTTCTACTACTATTGTACATGCAAAACGACAGATAACAAGACAATTGATTAGTTAAGAGTAAGTATACTCATCAATTCACATTAATGGCTCGTTCTTAACTCCAGAAAATGTTTAATAACTGAACAATGCTAAAAGTGACCTCATGATGCAGTTAATAATTTGTGCAAAGAACAATAAAGCACTATAAATTTTCCAGTTACAGAAGACATGGTTGCATACTTAATCATGTAGATTTTCAGAATCATCTCTTGGAAGGGAAAATGTAAAAACAATAGCAAATGGAACAAACAGAAGTGCTTAAGGAACCCTTGGCCTCTCAGCCATAAAACTGGAATGGCCCTCTGATAGCAGACAATGAGAATATAAATTTGCTATAAGGATCACAATACATTACTCAATTCCCTCAACAACAGAATGGAACTCAGAGAATATTGCTCTGAGTCTTTCAATGCTGCTGAAATTTCTACATATACATTCTAAAAGGATTGGTTTGTGGAGTGAGATATGAGTGGACTGAGGGTTGTTGTTGTTTGCTGTTGTCTGGTATGACTCATTGCAATCCTATGAACAACAGATATGAACTCTGTCCTGTCCCAGGTAATACTAAATCTCTGACATACTTGAACCTGTTGTTGCAGTCACTGTGTCAATAAATCTGGTTGAGGCTCTTCTTCTTATTCGTTGTTCCTCCACCTTCCCAAGCATAATGTACCTCTCCAAGGAACAGCCTCTCCTATCAACATGCCCAAAGTTTAGAGTCAGGGTAAGAGAAGACAAGTACAAAATTTGCATTTGGCATTGGACGTACAAAGTGAAACAGAAGATGCAGATAAAAGAGATAAAATACAAAATTGAAAAAAATGGATTTAATTTATTTTACAATTTTATAAATGATAGAACAATAATACTCAGTAGCTATACACAAACAATAAAACAATAGGGAAACAGTGTTGAACAGAATGAACCTGACAGAAGAAACCTCATCTTTCAACTCCACAGATTGTTTAAGAAACACTCAGTAGCAATTAATCTGTGCAGCAATGCTATCTCTGTAAACTCTTTTTTTATCCTGTTATATACATTTGAAACACTTGTGCTTTTGCCTACACAAAGAAAGAGTATTTTCATAAAAGTGCTACTTATGTGAGAGACAGGAGACCTAAAGCCACAATCTGAAAACTGCATTTCAAATACATTACAAGCTTAAAGACATTAATATCTTTAAATAGACATTTATTTATCTTTGTCCCTTATTGTAACTCTAGCTATGAGCAACATAGAATTTAGTTGTAAATAATTCTCTTAAAGCAGGATTTGTGGCTAAAGTCTCAAAAGAACTTTATTCAAAAAGGGGCTTTTCTCCAGAGTGATTCACAGTGCAGACCCTGAAGATGTTAGTATAACACAAATCTAGTGTGTTTATATTACAGACCCTGTGTGTACACACACAGATACACATATATAACATTGTGTATATGCATCACACATGTATATTTGTACTATATAGATATTTCTATAGCATATATATAATAAAATATCTATTTCTAGGTGGGCTTTATTTGGACATTTTTTGACCAATATAACCAATAACCTTCACTCACTTGATTCTTAAAACATCAGTATATATGGATAATGATTGATGGACAAACTCTCAAACTTGCAGATATAACAACTAACTATGTAGTTCTTCCCACAACTCTTTACTATTATAATACTCCATACAATAAACACATGAAAATAACTCCCTTATGAACCAAATACCATATAATGTGTATTATGACTAACTGGCTCATTTAGAAAAAAATTACTTTGTTCACCCTTGATTTTTCCTGTGTAGCTTAATAACTAGTAGGTATGTACACTACCCATAGCATTATTTAAATAGATTGTTTCTATAAGCAGATGTATAGAAATTCCCATTAGCAACTGATATATAATTTCTATGATACACAATCTATGAAGACATTTGAATTCCCAGCACCTTCTTTCAGATAGAAAAAACATCCACAGTAATTTCATCAGTCATGAAGACTGAACCATCAGTCTAGAAGATCTATTACTGATATTTATGTAAGTTAATATTTATTATATAACAAACTGGATAATAATGAAAATATTTCCATGGCCTGTTCATGTTAACTGCACAGTAACAACCAAGTTTTCTAACATACAGGAATATTTTCATGGTCAGCTGCCTGTGCATTGCCAGGCATAAGATTAAGCCATTTTTTTTAAAAAATAAAAGAAATTAAAGCTGTGAACATATAATTGTCCAAAGGGGAGAAAATCCAGTTATTTCAAGTATGCATTTCTGATTGACTTAAACCTGGTCCCTTATGGGTAAAACTTCAGTTCTTTATCCCAATCTTGCTGTTGGCCTTTGATGATCTCCTTGCCCTGTCCCTGTAAAATACCACAGCAGATAGTCAAGGAGGAGGGCAGATGAAACGGTATACAACAGGGAATGAAATGAGCTTGTACAGTTCGTCTTCTTTGAACACTAAATGCCTTTAATTGAATTCATTCTAGACTATTGAAAGTTCCCTGAGATGAACAAAAGTAGTCTCAGTCAATACTGAAGCCCTTTTTTTTTAAGCTGAACATGTTCAGAACTGGGCAATGTATTTAGAAAACACAACACATAGGGTAACAAAGCAACGTGAAGAAGCTAAAAAGGCACTACTCAATGCATCTATGAGATAAATATCAATGCACAGAACAGTGGATGAGTTGGGATGTGTTTGCCATGGCCTTTAAATTTGTTTGAATAATTTGTTGAAAAAGCAGAAAAAGTTGGCAAGGTACCTTACTGCGTATTTTTAAAACCTTGAATGAGTGCTTGGATAGATTTTACCCATAAGAATTGACTTTGTGACTTCTGGACTATCATTAAATCCAAACAAGGGCAATTAGAGCCACTTATCGTCTCTGAAGAGTCCGCATCGAAGGTCTTGAACTCATCTATCTTTTTGTTTAGTACATAAATGACATTTTTCAATTTAAATTCAAAACATGTACTTAATTCTTTCAAAGTTCCAAAGAGTTCATAAGTAGTTTAATGATAAAAGTGCTTCAATATTCTACTCCTTTTTAGCTCTGCCTCTTAACATCACTTCTGAACCAATTCATAGCTGACCTTCCACTGAGATTTCTGAGGCTGTAAACCACACAGGAGGGGATTGCTCATCTTTCTCTCATGGAGTCGCTGGTAGATTTAATTGCCAGAGAGGCATGGCCTTGTGTACAATGCCTTGAAGACTATGCCAGCAGACCTCCTAACTATTTATCCCCCATTTTTCCTCCTTTATACATTTTATTTTGTTTTCTAAGAGACACAAATTTTTTAGGAAATATAACCTGTGTCCTTAGGTTCTTCCATATTTTCTGAAATAATATCACCTATTAAAAATATTGATAACTTTACTGCTATGAATTTCCTTTCCATGAATATATATATATACATATACACTTATGTATTGATATATGTATATATATTTATATTCTCTATTTCTTCTTTTCTTCCCTTCCATAAAATAAAACTAAACAAAACAAACAGATTCATCTGTTATTTCTCCTTTTTTAAGACTGACTTCTTTAAGAAAGAAGAAGTCAGAGAATTTGTTTACGCTGAGACTAGAAGTGGGAATGCAGTGCTTCTGCCTTTTTATTTCTAAAGAATTACCTTGTCATCAAAACTACCTCCTTATATCAGAAAAGTTACCAGAACATTGGCTTATTGGTCACATCTATTGTATATTAACATTTTAAAAGTCATTTTATATTAGTAATATTTTAATGTTGTTTTAAAACCACATTAATATGATATAGTGACAAATTTAATTTCAAAAAGAGTATTGAAAAACTCAGTTCATTTGAAGTGCAACTTATTGATACATAACTTTATTGTTAAATTTCTTAAAATTTTCCATAGCTGTTAGGGAATCAACCTCTACTGATTACATTGTATCTTCTCTAAGAAATTTAACACTGGTAGACTTTTTAAGCTGATCTTCTATTTTGAATAATAAGGGCAATACTGAAGAGTTGGAAGTCATATTTCAGCTCTCAATCAATTATTCCAGTGGATAAGGAGTTTCCACAAAATTATTAATAAATGTAAAAGATGTGGAATTCTTCGTTCAAATAAAAATGTTTCAGTAGGAAAAAATTAAAATAATTTAATCACAATATTAGCATAATAATATATTAATATCTTAATAATATATTATGTCATGAAAGGAGAAAGATTTGTTGTGTAGAACTATCACTGTAATCTTTGGTACCAAAAGTACATTTTTCCTGCTAATTTTTTATCTCAGAAAACATGGAACATCTCAAATTACAAAGTGGTACAGTTTAGTTGGTACCTTCTACACCATCAAAAAAATTTTTGGAGGTTAACAGTTGTGCAAAGTAAAACCTTTTTAAAAAAAAAACTCTGTGTAATTTTCCCCTTTTTAAAAATAGAGCCTTAAAAATGATTCTTTTAAGGTTTATCTCATTCATATTTATCTGAGAAAGTAATTTTAAGCACCCTACTACCCAAACCAAAACAGATTCCAGAACACAAACTAAAATATAAACAAGAACATAAAATTCATGATCAGACTCAAGAGTCCTGACAGAAGGCATTTACTTGAGTTGTTTGATCTTATGGATTTCACTGCTCAAACTGTTTTCCTAGTGATTTCTGCTGACAAGTATGGTTTGATTTCCCCAAGGGCTGAAGTCATGTTCCTGGTTTCCTCTTCTAATGTGCTTGGCTTTGCTGTGGCAGCCCAGCAGTGATGAACATATTTGCTTTCCCAAACGATGAATGCATTGCTGGATCTTGTAAACACTACTGATTATACATTCAAGCTGTGTTCTTAGTGGAAGTGGCACTTACTAGGACCCTTGAAGTCAAAATATTTAATTTTTAGAGCACTTTGCAGATATTTCACCAGCTGGTAATGGATGTCTCACAAACATATATCAGTCTGATCAATGTTTGTTAGATGCCGAAACCAAGTCTTGATTTGGATCCTATTTTCAAACTTTATAACCCTTCTTCAGAAAAGAAGTGCATATTCAGTTTTGTCTGATTTGCATGTGCTTTATTGCTTTACACACTTTCCTGTTGTCAGTTTTAGAGCTCCTCTGTTATGTAGCACATTTAACGTTTTGAATTCTAATGGCATTCTGTGAGGACTTGCATTGGAAAAGTACCTATATTTTAAATCATCATAATAATGATATTTGACAGCTTTTCCATTCAAATCCTTAGGGAAAGGCCAGAATCCATAAAGGTGAATTTCGTCACAGAATCTTGTGGCAAGTGTGTACATGAGGAGACCTGTGCTTGGTCTTTTGATGGGAACTTTGTTTGTCAGCCAGTACCTGAGGGAGAAAAAAAAAGGAAGAATTATTTAGAGAAGCACATAACATATCCTATTTTGATTCTATATAATTCTGTTAAAAAATATTTAAAATAATATAGTAGAATAGTTATAGTATTTAAAATGTCTTTTATAAGTCATTAAAATGATACTTGAAGTATTTAATGTATTAAGTATTAAAGTATTCATTAAACATTTAGAAAGCATGATTCTTTGTCTCTACCTTTTAGTTTATGTTTTTCTTGGGGTCATAGAAATATCCAGAACATATAAGGTATAGGTAATATAAACATTAATTAGCAGTTAACATTTGCATAACATATAAAACTCAAAACAAACTCAAACTGATTTCTAAGAGTAGAAATTGACTCATAGGTGATCCCCTAGTGGGTTTTCAAAAATGGAGGTGATTGTCCATTTTTCTCCTGCAGAGCAGCTAGTAAACTTGAATTGTCTGCCTTTGGGTTGGCAGGGCAACTCCTCGCCCTTTGATCAATGACACTCACTACGAAAGGCATAGTATTAGGGCAAAGAGTGAGTAATCTTCTGTATAAATAAATTTAAAAATACGCCTAACAGGTTTTTCAAAATTTCTTGTAATTCAATTAAAAAACCAAACAATGAAATGTTTTTCATGCCATATAGCAACTAATTTATTCAACTTAAGTTTCCCAGGTCCAATTTTACTAAACAAAAGGAAACTTATTGTCTCAACACATACAAGAACAACAACAGACACAATATAATTCTGAAATAATTGCAAAGTCACTCACCACTCATCCATTTTAACACTTTGTGAAACAGATAAAATAATCCAATTAGTGGAGGTTTCCTAAAACACTTTAAAGACAAATAAACTCTGCAAAGGGTTCAGATCCATCAGTGTTGATAAACTCGACGTGAGAGACATGTACGCCAGTCATCAAGTTCGTCATCATCTCTGAAGGAAAGGGGAGTTTCCAGACCTTCAAACCAACAATCTACGTAGCAGCAGTCAAAAGAGGAAGGGAACAGATTGTAGGCTTATATATAAAGCTATTCACTTCTAAATAGAAAAAATCTTCACGATTATTTTGTTTTTTCAATTACCTGGAGAATTATATGCACTGCAGTCCAAAATAATGAGATCATGTTTAAGAGAGCCTGGGTTTTGCTATCTTCATCGTACTCACTTGAACATTATATATTATTCTTTAGTCCCTTGATTATTAAATGTCTTTTTACAGGAGTGCTCTGTTGGCTTAGTGATAAAGAATTGCACTGTCAACACAAAGGCATCTGAATCCACCAGTTGTTCTTTAGCAGAAAAATGGAGAATCTCCTCCTTTGTGATATAGACACTTTGAAGACCCATTGGAGGGTCAATCATGTGTTAGTTTCAACTCAACAACAATAGCAATAATAATATGAATTTTTACAGATTAGTTGCTATAATCAAGGATGCTTTAGGTAGAACGGAATTGGCAGACACAGAAGAATTTCATGAAACAACATATGAGCAAGAGCTTATGGTGACGAAGGAAGAAGTTCAAGCTGCTTTGAAGGAAATAGCAAGAAATAAGGCCCCAGGAGTAGATGGTATACCAATTGACATATTTCAGCTAACAGATGCGGCCCTGGATGTGCTCACCAAGTTGTGTCAAGAAATCTGGAGAATAACCACTTGGCCAACTAACTGGAAGAGATATATATTTGTTCCCATTCCAAAGAAGGGTGACCCAACAGAATGTGAAAATTGTAGAACAATATAATTAATTTCACATGCAAGCAAGATTCTACTGAAGATTATCCAAAAACAACTGGAACAGCACATCAGCAGAGAAGTGCCAGAAGTCCAGGCTGGATGTAGAAGGGGTCATGTTACTAGGGATATTATACCTAATGTTAGATGGATCTTGGCTGAAAGCAGGGAGTACCAGAGGAATGTCTATCTGTGTTTCATTGACTATGCAAAGGCATTTGACTGTGTGGATCATAACAAACTGTGGCTGACTCTGAGAAGAATGGGAATCCCAGAATACTTGATCGTGCTAATGCAAAACCTATACTTGGACCAAGAGGCAGTTGTTAGAACAGAGCAAGGAAACACTGTACGGTTCAAAATTGGGAAGGGCGTACGCCAGGGATGTGTCCTGTCTCCATACCTTTTCAACCTGTATGCAGAACAGATTATCCAGGAGGCTGGGTTCTATGAGGAGGAATGTGGGGGTCAAGATTGTTGAAAGATCTATCAACAGTCTGCAATATGCAGATAACTAAACCCTGCTTGCTGAAACTGAGGAGGACCTCAAGTGCTTGCTGCAGAGGGTCAAGGACTGCCGCCTCCAATACGGATTGAGGCTCAATGTCAAGAAGCCAAAGATTATCACCACTGGACCAATTGGCAGCATCAGGATGGATGGTGAAGAGATTGAGATTGTTCACAGCTTTAGTTTGCTTGGCTCCACAGTCAATACTCTCTGCACCAGTAGGCAGGAAATTAAAAGATGAATTGCGATGGGAAAGTCTGCTATTAGGGACCTCTCCAAAGTATTGAAGAGCAATGATGTCTCTCTGGAGACTAAGGTGCGTCTGATACAGGCCACGGTCTTTGAAGTCACTTATGTGTCAGAGAGTTGGACAATGACTAGGGAGAATAGAAAGAGAATTGATGCCTTTGAGCTGTGGTGCTGGAGAAGAGTATTGAGGGTACCATGGACTGCTAGGAAAACAAACAGATTCAGCCTTGAAAGGGTCAAACAGGGCGGCTCCTAGTAGGCAAGGATTCTGAGGCTCCTTCTAACATACTTTGGACATGTTGTAAAGAGGGATCGATCCGTGGAGAGAGACATCGTGCTTGGGAGGGTGGAGGGACAGTGCAGGAGGGGAAGGCCCTCTATGAGGTGGATTGATTCAGTGACTGGGGTAATCGGGATGGATGTATCGGAGACGGTGAGATTGGCAAAGGACAGAGCAGAGTTTAGGGTTGTTGTATACTGTGTTGCTATGAGTCGCAAGCGATTCGACGGCACATAACAATAGCAACAAAAACAAGATCAAATTGTTGTTGTGTACTGTGGAGTCAGAACCAACCCATAGTGAACCCTACAGTGGGTTTTCAGAGACAGTAGATTGCATACAGGGAGACTGTTCCTCCTTCTCCTGTGGGGCAACTGGTGGATTTGAACCACATACCTTTGGGAAACCTATACTTGGACCAAGAGGCAGTCGTCAGAAGAGAGCAGGGAAACACTGCATAGTTCAAAATTGGGAAAGGTGTATGCCAGGTATGTGTCCTGTCTCCATACCTTTTCAACCTGTATGCAGAGCAGATTATCCGAGAGGCTGGGCTCTATGAGGAGAACTGTGGCGTCAGGATTGGTGGAAGATCTATTAACAATCTGTGTTATGCAGATGACACAATTCTGCTTGCTGAAACTGAGGAGGACCTGATGCACTTGTTGCAGAGGGTCAAGGACTGCAGCCTTCAGTATGGATTGAGGCTCAATGTCAAGAAGACAAAGATTCTCAAAACTGTACCAATTGGCAGCATCAGGATGGATGGTGAAGAGATTGAGATTGTTAACAACTTTAGTTTGCTTGGCTCCATGGTCAACACTCTTGGCACCAGCAGCCAGGAAATAAAAAAAAACATATTGCGGTAGGGAAATCTGATTTTAGGGAGCTCTCCAGGGTACCAAAAAGCAGTGCTGTCACTCTGGAGAGTAAGATCCATCTGATACAGCCTATGGTCTTTGCAGTCACTTATGCATCAGAGAGTTGGACAATGACTAGGGAGGATAGAAGGAGAATTAATGCCTTTGATCTGTGGTGCTGGAGAAGAGTATTGAATATACCATGGACTGCCAAGAAAACAAACAGATTCATCCTGGAGAGGGTTAAACCAGTCTGCTCTTTGGAGGCAAGGATTCTGGGGCTTCGTGTGACATACTTTGGACATGTTGTAAGGAGGGAGAGGTCCTTGGAGAGGGACATCATGCTTGGGAGGGTGGAGGGAGTGCCCAGGAGGGGAAGGCCCTCCCTGAGGTGGATTAATTCAGTGACTGGGGTAATTGGAATGGGTATGTCAGACGCAGTACCATCGGCATAGAATAGAGCAGAGTTTAGGGTTGTTGTACATAGGGTCGCTATGAGTCGCAAACGACTCGACGGCACATAACAACAACAACAACATATTATGTTGCATTCACGTACATTTTTGTTTTGGTTTTTTACCCCCAGATCCCTTTGTCTATCAAACTCTGGCATATTTTTGCATTTTTCTCCTCTCTTCTCTCGACCAGGGTTGCCTTTCACATTTTTTGTTTTTCCATTTGTTCAGACATTGTGGTTCAGACATTTGTTCAGACATTCTGAGCAATGTAAAATGCTATACATACCTTTTATTTTAACAATTGTTTTGATAAATCATATAATCCAAATCATAATTGTTTTGAGAAATCATATAAACCAAACAAAAATATTAAACAAACACTTTTTTAAAGAAAAGTTGTTACAATTCAAATCTAGTTGAATAAACAAAAATCACTGACCACATTACTAAGATTTTGAAGACACCTGCAATGAGCATAATTAAGCTACTAGATGGTTCTGAAAGTACCATGAGACAATCTGAAGTGTTCTTGGCTGTAAGTGTGGCAAAGATTTCAACTGATTAAGTTTATTAATTTAAAAAATTGCTTTGTGACTTTTATTTTTAAGGAGATTAAGAAAAAAAAAAATAGAAGAAGAATTTAAGTCCTGAAAGTAGTCTCATGATTAAATTCCTGAGAATTCACAAACTCTGCAGTAGGGAGGACTTTATAGAAGATCCTGTGAATGTGTTTAAAACAATGGGTATATTGAGGATATTAATTAGTTACTGAATATTCATTCTATTTATGTTTTAAAAAATAGACTCTAATCTTAAAGCATTCTATTTTTCCATTCGTATTTGAAAATACAAGTAGATAAACCTTAGAAACTTGTGGTCTTATTTCAAATAAATTAATCTATGCAAGT